GAGGATTAAAACTAATGCTTTTCTGTTAATAAAACCGCGAGTTGTGAATTACATAATTCTATCAAACAAGAATTAATTAGAGTTATAATAGAAGTGAGATTTTAAGTGAGATTTTCTATTTCTTAAATTGGTATTATTATAATAAAAGTATAATCTCATTTTAGTGGATTATTTCAATTTTAGAGAAGTAATTTAAGTCAAAGGAAAATAAATTTAACAACTTAATTTTAATGTGTGTTTTATATATTTTGCGCTGCCAAGTAAATCTGTAAATCTGTAGATTGTTATAATTTACCTAGAGTTAACAGTGTTATGGCGCAATTCAAAATATTACAATTATTCTGCTTACTGATTTATGATTTCTTATTTTCGGCTTTATAAATATAAGAAAAATGAATTAACTTTTAGCCGCTTGCGGACACTTATCCGAAGTTCAATTAATTAATTGCGTCATCCTGTTAGGATTTACTATAGACAGTGCATTGCTATTAGTTTTAGTTAAAATGTTTATGTAGTACCTAATAACTATTTATTTTTTAATGACGAATGATCATACCTTCAAATAATTTGCAATTATGCAATTATTCTATAACAACTCCTTGTACTTTTTAAATTATCAATTATATTAACATTATAAAATTAGTAATCCATTTTACATGAACTAAAACTATTAAAAGTAATCGAGCAAAAAGATTGTCGTTCGAAAATTTCGTGCGGAAACTTTCACGTAATAAAATCGCAACTAGTTAATTGATAGCAAACTAATCGCCGTTTACGATAACCTTAGAACAAACTTCCTGCTCTTTCGAAGAATGCTTTCATGATCTCAGTAATCTCTGTTTCCGTGAATTGGTGATTCCGTAAAAAAGGCGAAGGTATGAAATAACAATAGCATACATCATCTGCGTTTATCTTGGCATGCTGTCTATGAATACCCTTTAATAACTGGTTTTTAATATCCTGCTCGTCATAGCCTCTGATTATGTAGATCTTCAGATAACCCGCCTTGTTTTCTACGGAATCTTCGAGAATTCCGTGTTATTTGCATTTTCAGTTACAACAATTATGTTTCTGCAACCTCCTGTTGCTTTGAACTTGACAAAAACTTCAGCAAGGAATTCATAAACAGCTGGAATGTCTCATCAACACGTGTACTCATATTTCAATTATTTCATTCACAACTCTTTGCATGAGAATTGATAATTAATGTCAAATATTTCAAACTAGTATGATTGTAGTATATGTGCATATTATGTATATCTCTCTCACTGTGGTAATATAATGCATCAATATATAAAATATATTTTATTAATATTTTAAGTTAATAGAATTTATTTGCATAACTATTGTTTGACACGATTTCTTTTATTTGAAATAACAGAAAATATATAATTATTATTTATATAGCAATTTAAATTACATGTTATTCATAAAAGAGGATGACTTTAATTTTTAATTCATATAATTCTCCTGATGTAAAGTTGTACACGTAACTTTTAATATTGTAATTATACAGCACGATTGTGATTTGGAGCAAAAGTTATTGAAAATATATAAAATCCTGGACAATAACTATTGAGAAGTTAAATATCATGTTAATGATTTGCATATACGTAAGCAGCGGGAATCTCCGTGCCTAAATACTTGACCGTGTAATTAGTGAAAATGGGTTTTCTCATCGACTAACGACAATTAACAGACCCTGAGGGCTATGAAGGGCAAACCCATCAACTCGCATAACTTCATTATTTTATCTTGTGTCCAAACTGAGTCGACATGCTACAGTTACAGACACAAGTCCATTTGATAGTTATTTAATTACGGATTGATAAACAATTAAAAATGTACAACAAATCAAAAATTAAATGTATTATTGTGGTCCAAAAGTAGAAACAACTATTATTATGTAATTAATTCCACAGATTATACGATTATATTTCGATTGTTTAGACAGTACTGATTGTTTTAAAACAAATGTCTCTGTTAAGATACAATAATTCCGCTAAACATAGAAAATTCTTTTGTATCAGTATTTGTTGTGTAACTTCAGTTCTTCCAATTGCAATTTTGCATAGTTTCTTGCACGTATGCATTTTTACGCTCAGTTATGAAACTGTCGAAAATATAATTATTCAAAATAAAACTTATTTACAATCGAACACTCATCTGATGTATAATGCAAATTGAAAAGTTCTTATTATATTTTTTATGTTTATTACGTACAGTCTAAATTGCTTCTTCTCAATAAAATGTACATCTTCATTTCGTCCTGAAATTTCAGAAATCAATCAAATTCAGAAATTCTTAATTTCTATCTCTCGCGTAATAACGGGTTTGAAAGAACCTGTTCTCCGGTGTTATCAGGAACCTCCTACTACAATCACGAGTTAAACAAGACTAATGCGCTGTGTCAAGCTCCTTTGCCAGTCCGTTCTGAATTAATTAATTCAGCTGTTAAGAGCATTGTACTGTCGAAACAATGCGAGGCATGGCAAAAAAATACCGCGAAATCTTTGTTCAGCTAGGAAGGCTGCGGCGTAAAGATGGGTCAACCTTTCGCCTTGCGATTATGTAAGACCTCGGACTGACTGACCTTTAGGTTCGTTCATGGCATGCGGCATTTACGTAATTTACCGATTACGATGTATTAGAGCCTTCTGAACCTAGAAACTAGTTCTCCTTCTCGCTCTAATATTTTTAAGATACGCGAAACACATGTCCCATCCCCCTTCCAGCCGGTTGCACTCGATAAAGTATTCGCCCTTTGATGGCGATCCCAGCTTTTAATGAGATCGGTAAAGTATAGCTAGGCGCTCGTTAAGCGCGACCCTTTTTCAGTAATTTCATCAGTACACTGTAGAAAAGCGGGATTCGTTTCGCGAATTCGGCACACGGTATTCAAAATGCGTTCTGCAATACAAGTAGTGTCAAAGCGAAGCGCAACCGCTTCCTTCCTTTCTTCTCCGCCACGTTTTTCGTAACAGTTGTTAATGAACCAACACCACAGGCGTGTTATCATATTCATCTTTTTGGGGCACCGTCCACTATCCTTCTTTATACTTGCTGTGCATTGTATTGTACAGTTTTTTTTTTAAAACGAAATTAGCGAAAATTCTGATGCGAAACAAAGTGTATAATTTTCCTTAATACTAAACTTACTAAACACCCACCTGTTTATTTAATAAGTTTTCTTAATTCAAGCGAAAATGGCGAAAAGTTTAAAATAAATTCAGTCCTGTCAAAAAAAACGATACACGTCAGTTAGTTCTAGCAGTCGGTAGATTTAGTGTTAATCGATTAAGATGTTTTACTAAGAAGTTGTTTGGGGTGAGTTTACATCATTGAATTTTGTTGTTTATGTTGTGTGTTCGTAAAAGGAGACTATGAGATTTTGTTCAATATTTTTTTCGTCATTATTTCTTTATCCACCTGGATTCTAGAATATTTTGAAATTTGCTGGAACTGTGGTAGAC